GGAAGCCGAGTTTCCGGCCACAGCAACTGTGAACAATTCTGTCGGCCCCATTAGAACTCGACAGTCCATTAGGAATCGGGAGGCGCGACCATCTGGTGATTATTTTTCGCTTTCCCACATGAAACGGGCATCCGATCTCAGCACATACACAGCGATTCACAGACTGAGAGGCCGACTGATGGAAGATATGTCCTCTCTCACCATTCCAAGTGATGTGCAACCCTGCACCAATGATTACCATTCTCCACATGAAAACCGCCCTATTTCACAACAATTTGAATACGAAGAACCATTGAGAAACTATTCCCTTCCACCCCAATGGCCCCCTGAAATTTATGACTCAGTACCACCGCTAAGTGCACACCATATGTTCAACAGCGTCGCGGGCGACATGACACAGCTGAATGTGACATCATACGGAGAGTCAGGTGTGTCCCCGACTTTCGCATCCAACGTCGAAGAAGCGATCAACCTAATAATAATTACAATAGGGATGGATCTGCTCTACCGGCACGTCGCCACTGAAGCTCTCCATGATTCCGGAGAACGTTTTCCTGAACCAGCATGTCATCCGGGGACACGGATTGACATCTTACGGAAGCTTCAGGCATGGTCTACCAATACCACCGACAGAAGCAGAATTTTGTGGTTGCATGGCTGCGCGGGAATCGGCAAATCAGCCATTGCACAAATGTTTGCAGGGAATGCCGAATCGGCAGGTCGGCTGGGGGCCTCATTTTTTTTTCAAACGTGGTCATCTCAGCCGAGGAACATGGCATTCAGTAATTCCCACCATCGCATACCAACTGGCTACTTGTATAGACGGCCTCAGCAGTTCGGTTCAGCATGCGGTGGAAAACGATCGGCTCATCGTTGGTCGTGCCATGGCCACCGCATTCCAACGACTTCTTTTACAGCCTTTCGAAAGCCTGCCATCCAACCTCCCAACCACTGTCGTCATCCTCGATGGGCTGGACGAATGTGCCGATGAGAAGATTCAGCAACAAATTCTCCGATTGTTCATCTGCGCAGTTCGCGACCACAGACTCCCGATACGACTTCTTGTAGTCAGCCGGCCCGAACCACATCTGAAGGAATTGTTCGAAGCCCAGGATGCAGTGGGGATATGTCAGCATTTTTTGCTGAGCGCGGAGCAAGCTGCCTTCGACGATATCCGAATTTATCTCAAAGATCAGTTTTCACGGATCCATGGCAACTAGTGCTGTCCACATATGATATTAATACGAAGATTTGCGTATTATATTATATCATTATTATATTACCGTCTCCAGCATCGTATCATATCCATATTACTGTATTTTTTCATTCAGGTCGATAGTCACGCGTCACGCACCAGCGTATCGATATCGAATTTTGGTCGATGTCACGCGTCACTCAGGCCTTTATCGAACCGAAAATTCGGGTCACGCAGGCCAAAATCTCCCAAAAACACCAAAAAACGAATATTCGTGTTGAAATTTTCGAAAATTCACAGTGGTCACGCAAAAATTTCGGTGGTATCCAATCGTCGAAATGGTCCGAGTATGTCACGCGTCACACCCCGTGTCGATCTGAATGAAAAAATACAGTATATTGCTCCCGTATTTATTAATATGTATCAGAATATATTATGGATATATTCTTGATATCTTTCAGGGTTTTTTTACGGGTCCATTCTTCAATTTTTCGCTCTGTATAATTATCCAGGTTGCCGGAGGACATTCGCCATCACTTTTAAGACCGGAGATAATCAGAAAATTGATTCAAATTAGCTTCTTGATGAAAATGTTCCGTTTTGATCTTCTTCAATGTTCAACTCCTATGTTCAACCCAAGTTCAAACACACTGGTTCAAACCATTTGTGGTACACTCATCATATTGATTTGTGGAAAGCCTGTGGGGCGTAAATACCAAATTAAATCCACTATACTAGTCACCCAGGTATCAATGATCAGAAAGTAAACATACACAACTGGAGGAGGATTGTGTTCAGTCATGATGAGTAAATTTTGTTTGCTGCTGAGAGTTGTACTTAGCCTGGTGATATTATGGTATTTCTGGAGGTGGGAGAACCCAAAAAAGTTGTAAAATGAACCCCAAAGGTGCCTGGGAACTGTGCCCAAAACATCATAATATCAGAATAATATGCATAATATGGTCCTGGCGTATCATATTATACTCGTATCATATTATATCATATCAGCCCATATTCATATTTTTGTCTTCGTCCTGAACCCGTATTATATCTGTAATATCATGAATTATTAATATCATATTATTGGATATTATATTTATGGACAGCACTAATGGCAACTTCATGGGTCGAGGGATTGATCTAGGTGAAAATTGGCCGCCCCCCGACGCGGGCGAGCGTCTGGTCAAGATGTCATCTGGCACCTTCATATACGCAACCACAGTTATCCGCTTCATCGATGACGAATATTACCATCCCTCGGAAAGATTGGAGGCTGTCCTCAATCTTGATCCGCGAAGTACTGCCCCGCTCGACGATCTGTACACTGAAATTCTTTCAACCCTTCCAAGGGATCAGGAAAATTAACAGCTTCATATGCTACATCTCATCTGGAAAACTACCACGTCTAACTTCTTTCTGGATCCCGAAGAAATCGATTTACTTCTGGAACTACGGCATGGTACATGTCGCCTCTTGCTGCGGCGTCTGCATTCGTTGTATAATGTACCATGCATTCGGACCCGCTTCGAATCTCGGAAGCGTATGTCCATTTTCCATGCATCCTTTGGAGACTATCTTTCCGACGCGGCTCGATCTGGACGGTGGTGTATTTCCAGGGAATGGCTGGAGGCAGCTGGACTACACCACATGCTACATCTCCTCACGACCCCGCTACAGACAAAGTTTCGGTCTTTCTATTGGCAAGTAATCGCTCAATGTTCACTATACTCATTCTTAAATATAAGATAGGGATATAGTCGGTCAGCTACCGAGGTTGCTCGAGAAGGCTGCCCCGTCTGATGCACTCATCGATCTTCTCCGGAATCCACACGTCCAAAAAGGTCTGTTCTTGTATGAAGCACGCCGTTGGCGCCATGGTGAAGCCGGTGAACCCAGGCACCAATGGCCAGAGGTACGAGTTTTCCTCCCTATTTCAAGAAACTGGTTGATTATCTCAAACCTCCCCAGACGGAGTCCCGATGGCCATCTGACTTGATTCAACTGTGGGAAGATCAGCGCGCAATTACAGCTCTCATTCCCTATCTGCACATCAGCAAGAATCCCAGCGCGGCAACATATGAATATGATGCAATGTACACTGAACTGTTTTCTCGGAATCCCGATCTTCTCCTCGTCTTGCAATGCACACTATTGGAACCCGACAGGATCCGCAGCCACCTACATTTGTGGGGTTGGACAGAACATATCTTGCGGCCTTTGCTTGCCGTCGGAGGAGGCATACAACGCCAAGGCTTCCCCGAAGGAGACTCACCTGCCGACTTTTTAACTGGCCAATCTAGGGCAAGACACCTCTACTCAAGACCGTGTGATGTCGCAGAAAAAATAGTCCTCCGTTCGATCTCTGGTCTCAGAAGAACACTTGCGGGAGGGCCTGCTCAACTAGACGCGTAAGTGCCCATCAGCAGCCTTTACTAGCCTTACTCAAACACTCCCAGGCATTGTTTTTACTTGGGCTTGATCGAGAAGTGTCCGACAAGCACGACGATACTCCGCGCGGTAGGAACATTAAACATCTCCAAAATTTGTGGCCAAATGGTCCCGCATCTTGATGCTCATCGGGACTTTCATTTTCATATTGAGAGGATCCTCACCAAGGTTCTGAAATGGATTCAGGTACAGGAGACCTCCACCATGCCGATGTCATGAAGACATGCTCATGTCATTTATATAGAGATTCCCAGATCCCGTGTCTGCGCAGGTGCTTTGTTCCTGGAAAAACGAGGCGAATAACATGTGGCGGTGCGAATTGTGTCGTGTAGAATGATAAGCTGTGGGGGGAAACGATGTTCGAATCATAATCCTCCTCCCACAAGTATAGCACTTGGAAGTGGGTATCTCCCTTCCTATCATCAGTAGTTTCGGAGATTACCTATGTGCTCAGGACACCGACGTAGAGTCGTGCGGAGCTGATCAAGGAGTGGACCAGGATAATTTGAGAGCAACAAAGGTTTGGGTTGAGCAGCGGCTGCAACCTTCAGGTGAAAGACAAGAAATGTCGTCAACATAATGCAAATCCGATTCATAGGTGAAGTTTATTGAGATCCAATGGAATCTGGATATCAGAGGCCTGGGAAGAGAGACAGGGGAGTATTGTTCTTCAGCAAATCGGTGGGAATTGAATCAGTGGTCCCAGAATTTCAATGCCCCCCTGAGCCCAAAAAAGAAATTGCCTCCGGATCAAGGTGGTACATAGTAAAAGCAGAATGGTTCATCTTTCAAGCTGGTTGTTTCCACGAGAGCCTTGCAATGTTGCTGCCACAGGAGACGTGCTGGCCAAGTTCCATCTTTTCTTTACAAGTTGTTATTCAATTCCACCCAGCCCGTCAACGAAAGGGGTCAACATTTTATCAAGTTGAGCCAAAATTTAATGTAGCTCACGAAGATTCTGCGAGTATCATCCACGCGAGTAGTAGTCCTGCGCTAAGTAGTAAGGTAGATATCATTGAGACAATGAAATTGAACAGGGTTGGTTGGATATGAGGTGATACAAATTATGCTCGTTCTTCATTGAATCGAAACCAAATGACCCGTTTCTTTCGACCGCCAGCCAGGGCCTGAATCCTCTTTTATGCAAGAACAAAAGGGAAAGAGAGGAACTATGTTGCGATGGGCAAAACGATGATTCCGGATCGGAGAATCGAACCCCGGGCTGCCGCGCGCCCAATTACGCGGGCGAATGCTTACGGGACGGCAGAGTACTTGGAAATACAGCTCAAGAAAATGTGAGAATGCACATGCCTCGCCGAAATTTAAAAGGGAAAGACTCGATGAACGAGAAAAGGTATTCCGAGACGGGGAATCGAACCCCGGGCTACCGCGTCAATCTTGTGATACTCCCCGATGAGAGGCGGTAATGTTACCGTTACAGCATCTCGGACATAGAAGTCGCGCCAAGCAGAGGAATTACATACCTGGGCAATCGGTGGAAATCGTTTGACCCAACTTGGAGCATTGTTGAGTTAACGCGCCTAGCCCCTATCAGTGGACTGGGTGTATTTTTGCAATTTTTCTTTCAGTGCGGAGACGGACACCGATCTCGCCTCGCAAAAAACCTTTTCGAACGTCAACTTCTGTTTGCGAGCCATCGCTTCGCGAAAAACAGTTGGTGCTGAATTGGCCGTCCCTCGCTCCGCGATAAATTGTTCCATCGCTTGGCGAAATACACTTGGTATGTTATTTGTCGTCCTTCCGTACGCTCATAAATTCTTGGGATGAGCCATCGCTTCGAGAATGATACTTGCTATTGAATTGGTCCTGTTCGCGTGTTGATTGGTCCTGCTCCTGCACGTTGAAACCAGGTGTTCAAGCTGTTCGCATGGTCGAATATGAGCTGCTGAACTGACTGGTGGCTCCATGTATATGTACCGCGCAGTCTTGTTGGATCATTGTTGTTCACACTGCAACGTCCCGGTCAGAATGAGGAGAATGCGATGGGTACGACTGCCAATGTAGTTGGTTACTTCATTGCCAGCCGGGGGTGTAAGTTTCGGTAAAGGGAAACGAGAAATATTGAAACGGCGGGGAGATATTCAAACGGGCTGCTTCCTAAAGTTGTGTAAAATCAAATTCACGACTCGGAGGAACAGACGGGAATGTTCTGGTTAACGGGGATAGAGTACCCCCAACACCGGTACCTTCTCCTCTTCGAAGCAAAGTGGTCGCTGAATTTATGATAGTATCCACAGAGTCTTTGCTCTGAGTTGAAAGATCAGGAGCCTTAAGCTTCATCTCGCCGTCGAGGCGAAAATCTTTGGACGTTCTTGAACGAAGGTGGGAGCAATACACCGGAAGAAGGAGACGGACATGCCAAAAAAAAGTGGGACTTTACGGTGTGAATATTCACGATATTTTGGGAGAAGAAAAAAAAAACTAGATGAGCCGATTGCATTACATCGCGGCAGAAGTTGGAGATGTTGATCCAACCGCCAGTGTGTGAAGTTTTGTTCACCTCGGCGAATGGGGTTTGAATTTCCAGCCCGGGATGTTCACTGTCAATTGTGGCTTTTAGAATTGGGGAAGGAATTCATGCCCTAAGACCCTCATCACACGGGATCCTGAGTGACCCCCCGTCAGTCAATAAGAAGAGGGCATCACCAGAAATGACACTAACTAGATTTCTGATACACTAACACCGAGGTGTGAGACTCTTAGCGTTCGTCGAAAGTGTTTGCGGTTGCCATGTTTCCAGGCCAGCGCCGAGGGAGGTATAAAATGGTTCATCTGGGTCAAACCGGCTCGCTGCAGCGGAAACTCCGGGGAAAAAAACGGCACCCAATTGAAAAGTCAAGACCTGCGCGGAGAAGTACTCCGGCGAGAGATTTTTTAATGACAGACATAGCCTGTTTAATAAATCGGCTGTTGGCGTGTAGCGTACGCACTTGCGTGCAGATTGCTTGAACACCGACGGGAGAATCTCTTCATCATAGTCGCGGATCTAGAACTTCTAGGCATACAATTACCGTTCAAGAAAGAACAAAGGGTATTTGACAACTGCGTACCTCAGCTACCCTGCGCGGATCGCACGAGGGCAGCTTCATAACACATTTCCAATTTCGTGAAGGTATAGACATACATGCAGCATCTAGGTAGGGCTGAATACGGATAAGAAGAAATGTACAGTACGGGCGGAATAAGTAAGTAGTTAACTAGCAAGCCAAGCTGAGGTGCAGAATCGTACATAGATAGCCGAGGCGTGCGGAGGATATAAGAAGAAATACAGAATGTAAAATGCGAGGAAACGAGAATATAGAATACGGACAATAGAGTGCGTGAGTGATGAGAGGGAGGATTGGCAAAAACACAGTGCGTAGGTAACAGGTCGTAGTAATACAGATGAGGAGATTGATATCGATGCGCGAGATAGGATGGACGGGTACTGGATGGAAGTGCCAAGAGGAATCATAGGATACGGATGTGTACGGTGTCAAGTGAATATGCGATGATTAGATAAGTGCTGGTGGATGTGAGCATCCGGAACGTTGGAGGGGATGCATGGGCAGCGACGGCGGGGACGGGAGGGAGAACAAGTTGGAGGAAAAGCATAAGAAGATGGCGGAAAGCGTTACGAAGTGCGACAGGGAGAAGGAAGTCGAGGGTCGGAGGTCGGTGGGAGGAGAGGAGACAGAGCCCAGAGCTGGGTCGAATGGATCGAAAGCATGGAAAGCCCGATAGATCCTACCTCCCCGGACCCGGTGTGTCAAAGTCAAACTCCAGCCTCCCAATAACCTCCGCCGACCCTTGCCCATCTCCCCTGCCCCCGCTCCCACTACCTTCACTTACAGGCGAGTGCGCCAGCCCCGAGCCAAGCCCCGACCCCCTGCCAATGCCGGAGCTGCTCGCACTGGTGCCTGTGCTGCTGCCAGTAGGGCCCCGAGGTCTCAAGTTGCTGCGACATCGTCAGCCTTAAACCCAATCGCAGAAAGAAAGGAAACGATACTCACGAAACTCCCACTCCGACTTCCCGCAGCACTCGCAGTGCGTTCCCTCGCCGCAGGCCCCATACTCCCGCTCGCGCTGCCGCTGTCCCCGCTTCCTCCGCTGCCGACGCTGCTCCCCGCCGCCGTGCCGTATCTGTGCGGGAAGCTGCTCGAATAGCGCTTGCGCATGGGGATGCCTACCCCACCTGCTGCCCCCACACTCCCAGGAGTTCCTCCGCCCACACTTCCCGCAGCACTGTCCCCACTCGGGCCCGGTGGAGGCATCAGGAAAGCTACACCTCCCATCCCCGCTCCCCCCGCTCCAGACCCAGCCGCAATCGGCGAGGCGCGCCCCGGGCTCTCCGCGACACCTCGTAATAACGACCCGCTCAGCGAGCTGCGCGACAGCGTGTTGCTCCTGAAGGGGTTGATCGCGAGCGGGCTGGGGCCCGTGGCGGGGCTTCCGCTCAGACCTCCTCCACTCCCACTAGATCCGCTGAACCGACTTCCAGCACTCCCAATCGGCACACCCTTTTCCCTCTCCCGCTCGCGCTCACTCGGCGCACGTTCGTATTCCCCGCCCATACCAGCGCTCTCGGAGGGCGATCCCCCCATACCGCCCGATGACGACGGATCCGGGCCTGCGCCGAGCGACGATTGCGCCGAGAGGGATGACGCGCCGCTCCGTGGGAGCACGAAACGATCCACCACGTCCGCTCCACCCGCCGCACCGACATCGCGTCGATACCCTGCCCCAACACTAGATCCGGACGCGACGTGCATGCCCATGCGGTAGGGCGACGTCGTGGACTCCGAGCGCTGGCGCCTATGCTGCTGCTGCAGTGCGGAGACGTACCGCCCGGGTGAGCCCGACGCGCCGGGGAGGGACGTTGTCGGTTCCACGCCCGGAAGGGAGGTATACCGTCCCGCTTCGGACGCGTATCGCCCTTGCCCATGCTCCGCAGACGGCACATACCGTCCCGCCTCGTTCGTCGTATACCGCCCCATCTCGCCGTAGCGCCCTGGCGACCCCGACACGCCCGCCCCAGGAAGTGGCACCGTATGCCGCCCTGGCGAGCTTGACATCCCTGCCCCACCCACACCGAGGGACGCGGAGGACGTCGTAATGGAACGCCTCGCGAGCGTGGGCACGAACTCGGCGTGTTCGTCCTCGTCTGCGTCGTCCCTGCTCCCACGTCGGAAGTGATCGCCGCGTCCACCACCATAGGCCTCCGACGCCCCACGCGCGTGCGGACTTCGAGCACTGCTCGCCACCCCGTACGCGTCCACCCCAGTCCCCACACCCCGCGTATCAAGCCCAGGGCGCAGCGGTGTGCGTGCGGGGCGCGAATTCGTCCCAATACCACTTTGGCGGGCATCGGTGTTTGGGAAGGACGACGATGAGTAGGTGTTCGTGGACGACCTCGTGTTGTTGTAGATATCATCGTTATTGTATCCGCTGTTATCGTTCCTGTACCCGCCCGCACCACCCGGCCGCGCATCGAGCACGGCGAAGCGTGACGAGAGCAGCGCCTCGAACGACGCGAGCGTGAAGACGGGCGTGGTGAGATACGTCGCGGAGAGCGTCAGCGTGCCTGTAATCAATCGTGGATGAGTACAAGTGGATGTGGAGGTGGAAGGGGGGAGAGGAAGGTGGAAAATATAATGAAAGAAGGTGCAAAGACAAAAGGAAGAGAAGGGGAGAGAAACGGCGCGTACTCTGTTTAAGAGCACGATAGAATGAGAAAGAAGAAAGTGGCCAGTCGCGAATCAAGAGGCGCGACGATCGGAAATCAAGAGTAGGGACCCGCGCAGTGGCACGACGCACTCGTCGACCAGTCTAGTCGTAGGCTACGGGAGAATGAGTACCGCACCAGCCACCAAGCGCCGAGCGGCGCCTAAGTGGCCTTCGCTGTCGCTGTCGTGTCCAGAGATGGACACACTCCCACCACAGCGGCAACATATTCGCACCGCACTGGAAGCGCTGGGCAGAATGGAAGCACAGGCACGCGCCCCGGTGCTGGTCCTTTTGAGAGCAGTGCAGAAGCGCGCTCGAAAAGCGCCCAAGAAGACGCACAGAAGACGATTGGCGCCTAACAAGAAGACGATCGACGCCCAACACTGACTGCGTGGACAGGAAACGCGCCTCCTTTCATATCACCGCGAAGGCGAGGTATGCCCAAAAAAGAAATAACAATAGGCGCTGAATATAAGCGCGCATAATTCAGTGCGATGGCGAAGACCACGCCGTTCTCCACGCTCCCGCCAACCGCGGAGGTTCGAGTGAGGACACAGAGGGGAAGGCAATGGAGGGTCCTGACAAGAATCGAAGCGAAAAAACGGGAAAGCGAGTAAAAGAAGCCACCGATAGAGAAAAAGCACGGCAAGCGAAAGAAACAAGTGGAAGAAACAGTAGAAACAAAGGAAAGGATTCAGAGCGACTGAAGCACAAAACGAGACT